ACTATTAATTTGATAGTAAATTTGACCTTGAATTTTATAACAAAATGGCCCTCTTCTTCTGTTATTAAAATTAATTACATTAGCATTTAAAGATGCAAAAGAAAAAGAATTATTGTACAGCCTTATATTCTTTTTAAAATGACCAGATTTTTCATGAAGCCCTTTTAGCAAAAGCTTTAATTCATCTGGATATTGTATGGAAGTTAAAACAACACCTCCATGACTACAACAATCATTAAAACTAACTTTTCTACCAGCAACTTGTTCATCTTTAAAATGTTTAGCTTGACAATGTGTGCAATAATAATTCATTGGACCTAGATAATTTTCAACATTATTTGACTTAAATGTTTCATTATCATCTAAATCTATATTTAATATTTTCTTTGGAACAGAAATATTCAAATTTGAATTTATACTATTATTTACCAGTTTCAACTCATTTTGAATTTGATGATTTAATACTCTTTCACAATAATTTCTTGGACATAGAGTATTTTTTGTTTTTGACAAAGTACTTCTATCACTGTTTATATTTTTTAATTTAAGGTTTTGAGCATATTCTATTTTAGATTCAACTTGAAGTTTTTTCTTAGTTGAAGTGTGCACTTCACCTGAATAATTTACATTATCACTTTTACATTTCAGTTTTTGCCTTTCGCGATAATTTCTTTGAATTTTAGCCTTACTTTGTTTAGGTGTTGTTGATGATTCAACATTTCCTTCATTTATTTTATTTATTGCTCTCGGAAAAGAAAGGGAAGTGTTTGCTTCCTCTGAATAATTTGGATTATCAACTTTACGCTTCAACTTTTGCCTTTCGCGATAATTTCTTTGAATTTCAGCCTTACTCTGTTTAAGTGTTGTTGATGATTCAACATTTCCTTCATTTATTTTATTTATTGCTCTCGGAAAAGAAAGGGAAGTGTTTGCTTCCTCTGAATAATTTGGATTATCAACTTTACGCTTCAATTTTTGCCTTTCGCGATAATTTCTTTAAATTTCAGCCTTACTCTGTTTAGGTGTTGTTGATGATTCAACATTTCCTTCATTTATTTTATTTATTGCTCTCGGAAAAGAAAGGGAAGTGTTTGCTTCCTCTGAATAATTTGGATTATCAACTTTACGCTTCAATTTTTGCCTTTCGCGATAATTTCTTTGAATTTCAGCCTTACTCTGTTTAGGTGTTGTTGATGATTCAACATTTCCTTCATTTATTTTATTTATTGCTCTCGGAAAAGAAAGGGAAGTGTTTGCTTCCTCTGAATAATTTGGATTATCAACTTTACGCTTCAATTTTTGCCTTTCCCGATAATTTCTTTGAATTTCAGCCCTACTTTGTTTAACTGTTGTTGATGCAATACTCCCTTTATTTATTTTATTTATTATTCTCGGGAAAGAAATTTCTTTCTTCATAGAGTTTTTAGAAAAGTTTGATTCTCCATACTTAAGTTGAATATCTTTTTCATTTAAAAGGCAATTCCAGTCATTCACAACTATGCAAGATCTACTATTAGAAAGTTGTTCAGAGGGAAATTCACTTAAACTATTGTTTTTGAACATTAACATTAAATGATTTCTCATATTACAATAATAGTAATTGACAGAATCAGGCATAATATTAAAAAATAACAATGTTGCGAATGCTATTGCATATATTCCACAAGCAAGACTGTTTAATGGTTGTTGATCAACAGTTGTGAAAACTACTGGTGGTTCAAAAGGATATAATCTAATTAAGTAAGCCCTTTGATCGTCATTTAAATATTTTTTATTAAGACTATCAAAAATGTAAAGGCTTTTTCCATCATAATAAGTACAAATCCAATGACCAGACTTATAATATCCACTAAAAAGTATTTGAATGTGCTGCTTATTTTTCTCGATTGGAACTATCAAATCAAGTGTTTGTAAACACAAAGTATTTTGCATATTATAAAAAAAATTTGATTGTCTTCCCAATAGCTTTTGAAATTCATACATATGATCATTATTTAGCATTGCTCCTTCAGTGACAACAATACTTAAATCATCAGTAGTCAAATTAACAGTTTTTCCTTTGTTAGACATTGTTCTTTTATTTTATAAAATTTACTTATATCAAGGAATTAAAAATTTAAAAATAGCAATATTACAGTAGAATTTTAAGATCAAGTTTTATACATTAAATTATAAATATTATAATTTCCTTTTATTCAATGATATTACCAAATTTTGCCTCCTATAGAAAATACAAACAAATTTCCAATTTTGTCTCTTATCCAATATATAACCAATTTACTATTTTTCCTTTAATCCAATTTAACCAATTTCTAGCTTTCTTTTTATCCAATATAATTAATTTCCAATTTTGCTTTTTATCCAATATAACCAATTTTGCCTTTTATCCAATATAACCAATTTACTATTTTTCCTTTAATCCAATTTAACCAATTTCCAGCATTCTTTTTATCCAATATAATTCATTTCCAATTTTGCTTTTTATCCAATATAACCAATTTTGCCTTTTATCCAATATAACCAATTTCCAGCTTTTATCCAATATAACCAATTTCTAATTTTTTATTTTATCCAATATTCCTGTTATACAATTCAACCAATTTCCAGCTTTTTATCCAATATAACCAATTTTGCCTTTTATCCAATAAAACCAATTTAACCAATTTCCAGCTTTTTATCCAATATAACCAATTTTGCCTTTTATCCAATATAACCAATATTTATTCAATATAACCAATTTTGCCTTTTATCCAATATAACCAATTTTGTCTTTTATCCAATAAAACCAATATAACCAATTTTGCCTTTTATCCAATAAAACCAATGTAACCAATTTTGCCTTTTATCCAATATAACCAATTTTGTCTTTTATCCAATAAAACCAATATAACCAATTTTGCCTTTTATCCAATAAAACCAATTTAACCAATTTCCAGCTTTTTATCCAATATAACCAATTTTGCCTTTTATCAAATGTAACCAATATTTATCCAATATAACCAATTTTGCCTTTTATCCAATATAACCAATTTTGTCTTTTATCCAATAAAACCAATATAACCAATTTTGCCTTTTATCCAATAAAACCAATGTAACCAATTTTGCCTTTTATCCAATATAACCAATTTAACCAATTTTGCCTTTTATCCAATATAACCAACTTCTAATTTTGCCTTTGGATTCCAATTACATACGATTTCCAAATTATAACAAATTTTTTAATTTATTAATAAACATAAAAAAAAAATTTTTTAACTTTATTAATTAACTTCGAAAACTGAACACAACTCAAATACATAATTATTTAAATGATTAAAAAAAATTAGAAAAAAGTATTTTAATGTATTTTTATTATTATTTAATATTCACTTATTTAATTATATTCACTAATACTTACTATTCACTAAATCACTATTTACTAATTCACGAAGTATTCACTGATAATTCACTTATTTAACTTTTTTATTCACTCACCTATAGTGAGTGAATTCCCAAAAAAATTGTTATACTTCAATTTCGTTGAAGACACGTAGAACGTGCTCCAAGGAAAATAATCGACGATATGATTTTTAAATTAAATTTTCGTTCTTATATTTAGGTGGTAGGCCCTAAACGTGAGTGTCCTCTTCGCACTCATAGATATATATATATACTAGCTGCGATACCCGTCTTCGACGGCTTATTGGTTATTGTTATTTCTAGTTATATATTAATTGGTTTTTAGCCAATTTCATTGAAATTAATTCTTAATTGAAACTTACTTTAAGGAAAGTAAAAAGATAATGTTCATAATTTTTAAAAAATGCTTAAGGGAAAGCATTTCAATGACATTGTTTCCGAGAAGCACCACGTGGAGGTAACCAATATTAAGTGTTTTTGGTATGTCTTTAGATTATTCTCAAAAGGTAAATGACACTTATTAACTTTTTTGGGTAATTAAAATCTTTAAAAAATTATAAAACCTTTTTATTTCAGCATTACTAAATTATCTTTGAGAATAATTTGTGTACATACAGAAAACGCCCATCGCATCTCATACTGGAAGAAATTTAGATTAAATTATTCTGAAAAGTATATAATTATAAATAGAATTAAAAAATATTCATGAAAAATAAATATAAATAATAAATTTAAAAAAAATTGAAATCAACAATTTCTAAAAAATGAAATAGATATTATTCGAGATAGCAATTAGAAATTTATGAATTTTAGAACACTTAACTCATGAATTTTGTAATTTGTTCATACTTTAAAAATAAGCAATATTTAAAATTGTTTTAAAAAAATAAAAAAATTAATTGTTAAAAAAATGTAAAATTGTTTCCAAGAGATTCATGTTTTATAATTATTCTCACGAATAATGCATTTTAATTTATAAGTAATCGATTTGATGGGATTTCTATTGATTTACCAGTTATGACCTTATTCTTGATTTGTTTTTTTTTTGGACTTTTTTTCATCTTGTTTTTTAATGATAACTCTGAATTTTGACGATTCCTCACTCTCCCATTCAATTTTATGTTTGCCTCGTGGTATTTCATCGTAATTTAATCCTAATTCATACGCTTCTACGAACTGTTCATCTGTTACCTCATCTTTTCAATAATTTATATTTAATACAATTATTATTCTTTTAAAAAAATTAATTTATTTTATTCAAATTGTTAAAATTATTTGAAAAATTTTATTACCAAAAATTTCTATTGATCCCATTTTACAATTTAATTGCAGCACAAAGTTTTGATTGTTTCCTTGAATACATTTAAAAATTTACATTTTATTTAATTTTTTAATCTAATTTATTTGATATTTTAAAAAACTAAAAATTATGTTAGATATTTTAAGGTAGATTTACGCCTGTCAGCAAACAGATGGTGCACAAAACGCGCGGGGGTAGTGTGAGCAAGAAATTGAATTTTAGTTCTTATACATATACTACCTTTGCTCCATCTTCTTGCAGATAGACAGCAGAGGTGTAAAGTACACTATAAATTTAATGATTAGTTTGTTAATATTTCACTATACACAATATTTCGCGTCTGTCCAGTTGGAGCATAAATGAATAAGCATCTTGATGATCTTACTCTAGACGATGCTACGTACAATTGACCATGCGAAAAACATTCTGAACCACTGACATCTAATCCTGCCATAGCTAAAGTTTGCCCTTGAGATTTATTAATCGTCATTGCGAAACACAAACTTATTGGAAACTGCAAACGTCTAAACTCAAAAGGATAGTTACTGGGAATAATAGGAATGCGAGATATAAAGACAATCTCGCCACTTGCACAACCAGTTAAAATTTCTGCTTCAATTATGTGTCTGTGTAATGATCGTACTCTGAGACGCGTACCATTACACATTTTAGGTGGATTTATGTTTCTCAAAAGCATTATTGGAGTTCCAATCTTAAGATGTAATTCATGAGGAGGTAAGCCTGGGGCAGTAACTGAATCTAAAAATTCTCTTGGATAATGAATAAAATCGTTTTCATTTATAGGAGTGTTGACTGACAAAAAAGTTCTTTCTTCTGCTTCAAACAGAGAAAGAATCTTTCTGTTGATTTGAGCAGCCTGCTCATTGGTTGGTGTGAGAATAGCTCGATCACATAACCAAGAGCTTTGTAAAGTCGGTAATTGCTCAATGTTTGGAAATACACTCGCTATAAGTTGCTCCTGAGAATTAACTACTGAACCTAAAGATAATGGTATGGTAATAAGACCATCAGTCTTTTCCATATTATCTTCACCAATCATCATTAGTGTATCAGAAAATTCCTGCGCCCCCTCCTCTCCTCCCACATGAACACGCATATTGATTGAAAGAGAAATACGTATAATAAACGGCCAAAGAAATGAATTTTTTATAGATGCTTTAATTTCATCTGCCCTGGTACCTCGCGTTACGACAGGTAAAGTTTGCCTAAAATCTCCTGAAAACAACACTGTTATTCCTCCCATATGTAAAGAATTATTACGAATATCTTGGAGAGAGCGATTTAAAGCTTCAATATTTTTCTTATGTGCCATAGTGCACTCATCCCACACTATAAAAGAACAATTTCGAATTACATCAGACATGGGCGAATTCTTTGATAAAAAGCAAACTGGAGTATCCGACTGTTCTATATTAATCGGTATCTTAAACATGGAATGAGCTGTACGTCCACCAGGAAGAAGGGTGGCAGCTATACCTGAAGAAGCTACAGCTAACGCAATTTTACGTTCACTACGAATTTTGGAAAGAATCAAGTTAATTAGGAAAGTTTTCCCAGTTCCCCCAGGAGCATCAAGAAAGAACATCTGTTTTGAACCAATACAGTTAATATTAGAGAGTATATTATGATAGATTGTACTTTGCTCGTTTGTAAGAGAAGGTTCGTTTTCCATTACAAACATCAAAAGTTGATTCACATCATAATTCGTCTCTCTAATATACTCTGCATTAGGTTGGTGAAGCGATAAAACTGGAGAAGGAAGATTAAAATCACTAAGAATTTTACCACCTATACGTAAAGTCATTTCTTGTAAGGCCTGTAGACACAAATCATATAAGCGTGGAGTATTCTCATAGGTAGTATTTGATATTGTCCTTTGAGCATCTCGAAGAAAATCATCCGCTAAGGCATTACGAAATTTAATCCATAAATTTAAGGGATCGCTCGGGTCACAGAATAATAGAAGAATGCAAAATAACTCTCTCATCTTGAATGCACATTGAAATAAAGCAGCTTCTGTAAGTGCATCTTCCCAATGATGATCGTCTTCGAGAAGACCTAATGCTTTGCAAGCTGCTTTATATGTTGGATGTACTTCACCCCTAATTGTTCTCAGACTCTCGAATGAAGTTGGGCCTCGAATATGCTGTAAAAGCAATCGAAGATGAAAACATTCACTGTTATTAGGATGAATTGTGTATACTCTGCCAATTGCAGAATCTTTAAACACTCCTAGATGTCCTGACACTGATTCACCTCTTTTTCTTCTCGAGAATATGCGTCTTTGCTTGTCAAAAGTATAATATGAGGGTACTTCATGATAAAGTAATAATCGAGCGAATGTATCTGTCTGACAAATTTTAAAAAAAGCCATTAATGTAGTATTAAGAGGATTGTCTAGTCGTTCAGTTAAATTGTCTGGTCTAAAATAAACCCTTTGCCCATTCTCGAGATGAACATCCAGATGTATTACTGCAGGGAACCTTTCATGGATAGGAAATTCTAATATTCTCCAAACTGCTTCAGAAGAAGAAATATAACGACCTGATTGATATCTACTAACTTCGTCATTATCATCAACTATGCCAATAGACGCTTGATCGCTTCCCTTGTTTATATATTTACATATATACTTAATTGCTTTCACTCCATTGCAATTTTCGACATTAATATGTGTTTCAAAGGTTCTTAAAAGAACTGGAGAGTATGGTACAATCCACCTGTTATCTAACGTTATGTTCTGTTCTCCTATTTTGACAGTCGTGGTAAATCCACCGTCTTCAGGAGACAATCTTCTGTATTTAGGATAACCATCCTCTCCAGTTACTGTCTCTCTCACATATTGCTTAGGATACCTTTTAGAACAGTGGCCTTCCTTCATACATATCAATTGTCTATTAAACGGGCCACATGGCCCATGTACCATATGACGTTTCACTAATTCGAATAGCTTGTTATCAACTTCACGATTAGGAAGCTCTGCTCGGATAACGTCATTGATTCTATTAGGATTCATGGTTTCTGTTAGCCATATAAGGATATGAGCATGAGGTAAGCCACGTTTTTGCCACTCTACTGAGTACATATAACACTGCACTTTTCCAAAAATTTTACCATTCTTTAAAAGCGTTATTAAAAGTTTTAATTTCAAGTGAAAAACTCTAGCAACTATATCATGACGATCATGAGCATTTTGACCGGTTGATATATTATTAGTAATCTCTGACCACCTGGGATTGGTGGTAATTGTGATGAATAAATCAGGACGACCGAATTTTCGCACATAACAAAATGCATCCTGAGTGCGTGAATGCATGTATCGAGGACCACCTGTAAAACTTGAGGGTAGAATTACCATTTGACCTAAAGAATCAATGTTTTCATTCCTTCCAATAGCATCTTGAAGATGAATATATTGTTCTGCTCTAAGTTTAGTTTGATTCAAACGAATATAGAGTAAGCGTTCACTCTCAATTTTAGCGTACATGTCTACCAAAAACTGGTTGAACAGTTGTCTAAAATCAAGTAGGAAATTATGTACACCTCTTACCATTATACGATACGAATAAAACTCTAAAGCAGATATTTTCTTATCCGTCATTCGACCTGTTTCAGGATTCGTCTGACGATAACCAAAATGATTTCCATCCTCTCCACGACAGAACATGAGAGGGTATTGTAGGGCATCATATGATCGATGGGTTTCACATATCCGAAATAAACCACCTGCTCTCTTTTGCAATACAATATCCCTTGGATTGGTTGGATCGCCAACCATAATGATGGCTACTTCAGATACTGTCGGTGCATTATATGTCCCTGGATGTTCACCAATTGGTCTACAGTCTGCATTAATAAATACTCTATGATTAATTGAATCTGACGGCAGTAAGTCTAATGCAGATTTAAAACTTTGAATATAAGAATTGATGCCATGAAGAAGATTCTGCAAATCTAACAACAAAGTTCTATCCAGGGTATTAAAAATAGAAAGTCTTCTATCGACTTGGTCTTGATGATCCGAAATAAAATATATTTGAAGATATGAAGATACATGATTATCAGAAGGCAAGAGGGATGACATTAAATGATGTACCTGACCTTGTATTCTACAGGTAGGTCTAAAACCTGGTTCATATAGTTCATTTGCTCCAAATGAAGTCATTTGAAAAGCTGAATTATATTTCCTGGTATTCCTCAAGAATAATTCCGAATTATAATGATTTCCATCAAGAAGTGAACGAAGCGGTTCTGGTGGATCAAGTAATGCAGGCAAAATAATCTTTCCGGAGGAACAACACATACCTTTAGCCTCATTTACCCATTTTAAGGCTGAACAAAAATTACAAACATTGCTCATCAATCCAATATTTGCTACTTCATTGTAATTAATCAGGGGATCATAAAAGAAACCACTTTCAAATCTATTTTGCCATTGCCTTAGATTTGACCTTTCATGCCTTTCCGTATCTCTCGAAAGTCTTTCTTGCCTCACTTCTGACGACTCTAACGCTCTATTAACAATATGCCTTTCTCTATCAGAAATACGTCTGAAAGAAATTTCATCATTCGTTTGATTATTTCTTATTACTTGTATACGATTCGCTTCTTTTCTTAGTCTCAAATTATACTGAACAGACTCGTTTAATCTAACAGTAGTGCGTCTTTGTCGATCAGTTGCTAATCTAACCTCTCTATGCTCCACAGACTCTTCTGATCTAGCTGTAACATGTCTTAGTCGATCAGTTTCTAATCTAACCTCCCTATGTTCCGCAGACTCTTCTAATCTAGCTGTAACATGCCTTTGTCGATCAGTTGCTAATCTAACCTCTTCATGTTCCGCAGACTCTCCTAATATAGCTGTAACATGCCTTTGTCGATCAGTTGCTAATCTAACCTCTTCATGTTCCGCAGACTCTTCTGATCTAGCTGTAATATGCCTTTGTCGATCAGTTTCTAATCTAACCTCCCTATGTTCCGCAGACTCTTCTAATCTAGCTGTGACATGCCTTTGTCGATCAGTTGCTAATCTAACCTCTTCATGTTCCGCAGACTCTCCTAATCTAGCTGTAATATGTCCTTGTCGATCCGTTGCTAATCTAACCTCTCTATGTTCCGCAGACTCTTCTAATCTAGCTGTGAAATGTCTTTGTCGATCATTTGCCAATCTAACCTCTTGTTGTTCTGCAGACTCTCCTAATCTAGCTGTTATATGTCTTTGTTGATTAGTTGCTAATCTAACCACTCTGTGTTCCGCAGACTCTTCTAATCTAGCTGTAACATGCCTTTGTCGATCATTTCCTAATCTAATCTCTCTATGTTCAGCGGACTCCTCTCGTCTAGCTGTAAAATATCTTTGTCTATCATTTTCTAATCTAGCCTCTCTTTGCTCCATAGACTCATCTAATCTAGCCATGACATGTCTACGTTGATCATTTCCTAATCTAGTCTCTCTTTGTTCCACAGACTCATCTAATCTAGCTGTAGTATGCCTTTGACGGTCTGTTACTAATCTTTCCTCTCTCTCTTCGACTAACTCTTCTAATCTGGCAGAAGCATGTCTAAGTTGATCGTTTGCTAATCTTTCTCTTCTCTGTTCGACAGACTCTTGCATTCTAGCAGAAATATGTCTAAGTCGATCGCTTGCTAATCTACTTTCTCTACTTTCTAAAGATTCAGTAAGTCTACTTAAAGCGTTGCGTTCTCTGTTCCTTCTAAGTCTTCTTTCTCTCTCTTCTATTACATCGTTTTGGGTGTTTTCTTCAAGTCTTTGAGGTACTAAATTATTTCCTGTTCTGTGTCTCTCCTGACTTCTATTTAATGATCGAGATAGTCTCATTCGTTTGGCAGCTCTAGAAGATGAACCTATATTGCTTCTTTTCCTTGATGGCATGTTCAATGCTTATGTTACTCCTCGAATTTAAATCTGATTATTTTTTAGCAAAGGTATAATTTATTATTGCTATCAAAATATGAAAAATAAAAAATAATTTATTTATTTATTTTACAATTACGAAATTAAACAACAATGATTGCAATTAGAAGTTAAAAGGAGGAATCGGTAAACTTTTTACCAATATCAATTGATATTGTTAATTTAAATTCAATAACCTTAAAATATTTAAAGTTTTAAGAAAAAATACGAAAAAGGGTTATTAAGGACATTAAAGCAAAAAAGAGCAGGCGGACAACATTTTTACTACATTTGCGGATAACAAAGTTGTAATAAAGAAACGATATTCATTTAGCGTTGCAATACAAATCACGAATGTGCTTTGATATGATTTAATTATTACCTAATTATAGATTTTAATTTATTTTTTTATTAAGTTAATAAGTAAAAAATTATTTTTACTCGAATACATTTATTTCACTTTATTTTAATCGATTCACGGCGAATAAAGGGATTATAAAAGAATGAAAATTTGTAGAAATAATAATTTTAAATAGTAGGACGTTTGTTTTCTCTTAATTTCAGTTTAGTTTATTTTATTTAAAAAAAATTTGATAATGAAATATGGAATCTAAAAATTGACATAACATTCAATTGAACGTTCATAACCTTGGGCATTTTTTTTATAAATAAAAGATTTTTGATTGTAATAAAAAAATTTTAACATGGAATATTTTCAACTTTAATTTAGTTGACAAATTATTTAATTAAATCAAGATAAATTTTAAATCAATAAGTTAATATTTCCCTTTTTATAAGCAATATATTCCATAAAACAAAATTTTATTATATTTAATTTATGATTCAATAATAATCATTTTACGTACCTGGAAATTTTTAATATTAAATTGTTTTCCACCTTTTGTTATTAGTTATGTAGTAATAATAGTAATTTATTTAATAAATAGTAATAAATATTTTTTTAGTTATATTATTGTATATGAAAACGGTATGTTTTTGAAATTATATTTCCAATATTGTATTAATTGTTATTTTTATTCCAATTATTCTTATTATTCCAATTATTAATCCAATTATATTCGAATCCTTTGTTCAATATTCTTCGATTGTTGAATATATATTATTTTTGTACGCTTTTGAATGAATAAGCTTCTGCTTTCAAATTCGATTTGACAGTTAATCTCTTGAAGTTGTATTCGTAGTCGATTGTTTTAATTTACATAAATCTTCAAATTTTTTTAAATAAATTTTTTAACTTTAAAATTTTATATTAAAAATTCCTAATTTCTTTCAATTTTGTAATAGAATTTTAATGAGAATAATTTTAATTACAATTCAAAATACAATTTAATTAATTAATTAGAAAATATCAATATTATCTTAAATGCAAAAATCACTCAATATCCAACGAAACTAATTTTTTTAATTCTTTTTTTAAATTTTATTATAAAAAAGGTTGTATTTATCTAAAAAAGTAAGCTATAGATAGTTTTGCATCAATTTTACAAAAATTAAAAAAATTTCATTTTTTGAATTTTTTGAAAAAATGTCATAACTTTCGTTCAAATTAATATTTTTTAATCGGATAAGGCTATGATTTTAAGTTACGTTAATACCTAATAGACTGCCAAGTTTCACTTCAATCGGTTGAACCGTTTTCAAGTGATGCGCGAACAAAGTTTTGCATACAGACAGACAGACAGACAGACAGAAGGACAGACAGACAGACAGATAGACAGACAGACAGACTTTTTTTTTTTACATTTTTCGAATTCTCATGTCTCAAGAAGAAAAAATATATAAGAATTTTCAAGATTGGAGCAATGTACAGACAGAAGTCTGGTTTTATTAATATAGATATATATATATATATATATATATATATATATATATATATATATATATATAGGCCTGTATTCGACCCTAAGAAGGATTACGAACCCTTAAACAATAGCCTTTGTAATGGGGATTACCTCGGAGAACCCAGGTAATATTTTCTTTCTTCCTTCATCGCAAGGGAAATATAAAGAAAAGTCTATTATATGTATATATATATAATATATATAGTAATAGAAACTCCAAAGGTAACGGTCTCGATAACGTCTGGATAACGGCGCCGATAACGCTTTCTCTGGTAACGGCTACCTTTCTTTCTTTCTCTAAAGGCAATGTCAATAAGAATGTCTCTCTTTACCTAATTTGCATATCTGCTGATTTCATATAAGGAATAAACAAAACAATACAAGAACAGAGAATATGAGAAATGAGTATTTATTGCTTAGAAATAAAGTCCAAAATCATTTCATACGATTTATCAAAATTATCCAAATCTGTCATCTTATTTAAACTTTTATCCTTTTCTTTTTTTATAAAAATCATTTCAGCAAATAAACGTTTACTGAGATTAGGTTCAGTGTGTAAAATTTTAAAATCATCCCATTGTATAAAATGAGGAACAATGTCATTCTTGACATCTTTCAAGTGATTACTAATTACGTTATGATATTTTTCGTCTCTGTCAAAATTATTCATATGTTCTTGTCTACGAACATGTAAAGGTCTTTTAGTTTGTCCCACATATGATTTGCCACAACTACATTCAAATTTATAAACGCAATTACATTGATTAAGTCCCTCAAGTTTGTCCTTACCCAGTCTTATAAATTTATCAAATTTTGAATTAACACTATAAATTGTTTTAATGTTAAAATCCTGTAACAATCTTTTGATGTTCTCTGATATCTTCCCATAATAAGGAAGGACAACTTTTTTATCTTTATTATTGTATTTATCATTATTTATGTTATTATTTTCATTAATTTTAACAAGTCTTTTTTTGTCATAAAATTCAACAATTCTTTTTTTAATATATTTATCTATAAATTTTTCTGGATAATTATTTAATTTCAGATATGATTTAACTAAAGAAATATTTTTATTGTGAAAACATTTATCAGAGAGCATCAACACAGTATCAACAAGATTTTTAATAATTGCAACTTTTTGGTGTACTGGGTGGTTCGAGAGATAATTTAAAAATCTTTCAGAAAAGGTATCTTTTCTATACCAATCTGTAATAATGTTATTTTTATTAGTTCTAATGATTTTCATGTTTAAAAAATTTAGTTCTTTGTTATTTTCAATTTCATGTGAAAACTGCAATCTATTATGAAAAGAGTTGAAGGCAGCAATAACCACTGTGATTTTATTTTTAGGAACACATAAAAATGTGTCATCTACATATCTTCTATAGGAAATAATTTGAAAGTCTAGATTATTAATAACATGTTCCTCCAAATCCTGCATGACTATGTCTGCCAAGACCGGAGAGATAGAAGACCCCATTGGGGTACCAAATTTTTTTCTATAGAATTTATTATCAAACTGAAAATACATATTATTCATAAGGAAAACTATGCAATTTTTAAATTCATCTTTAGGAATTTTTGTCTCTTTTTTAATATGTGGCCACCTGTCCTCAATTCCCTTCATGACTAATTCAACTGATACATTTGTAAATAGAGAAGAAACATCAAGAGACATCATTATATAATCATCTGGTATTTTTAATTTTAAAATGTCTTCTTTGAATGTAAAAGAATTCTTAATATATGAGGAAGTTTTTGGTAAAGAATTAGTTAAAATTTTAGTAAAAATTTTTGCCATAAAATATGTGGGAGAATTAATTGTTGAAACAACCGGTCTGAGTGGACAATTATCTTTATGAATTTTAGGCAAACCGTAGAATCTTGCCATATTAGTATTCATAGTTATTAAGTCTTTTCTTTCAATATTTTTGTCAAGATAGCCACTAGTCCTCAGTTTATTAAATTTGTTAAAAACTCTTTTTTGTAAAGGAATTAGAGGATTTTTATCAATTTGTTCATATGAACTTATATCATTGAGCATAATGTTAGCTTTATCTAAGTATTTTTGTTTATCTAAAATAACTGTTAAGTTACCCTTATCGGCGTTTGTTATAAAAAGTTGTTTATTATTGTTTACAAATTTATTAGTTAATTTTATATTATTAGCAATAATTCGATCTGAGTTAGAAATGTGTTTAGGTTGTTTAATATAATTAGAACTCAATGATAGCACTTTGTGTCTTATTTCTTCCCTACTTTCCTTTGGAATACTCATTAAACAATTCTCCAGTTCCTTAACAATATTGAAAACATGTGTATTCTTCGATGTTACAAAATTAGAGCTAAATTTATTGCCAAGTCTTATCCAGAAAAATTTATAGATAAATATATTAAAAAAAGAATTGTTGAATTTTATGACAAAAAAAGACTTGTTAAAATTAATGAAAATAATAACATAAATAATGATAAATACAATAATAAAGATAAAAAAGTTGTCCTTCCTTATTATGGGAAGATATCAGAGAACATCAAAAGATTGTTACAGGATTTTAACATTAAAACAATTTATAGTGTTGATTCAAAATTTGATAAATTTATAAGACTGGGTAAGGACAAACTTGAGGGACTTAATCAATGTAATTGCGTTTATAAATTTGAATGTAGTTGTGGCAAATCATATGTGGGACAAACTAAAAGACCTTTACATGTTCGTAGACAAGAACATATGAATAATTTTGACAGAGACGAAAAATATCATAACGTAATTAGTAATCACTTGAAAGATGTCAAGAATGACATTGTTCCTCATTTTATACAATGGGATGATTTTAAAATTTTACACACTGAACCTAATCTCAGTAAACGTTTATTTGCTGAAATGATTTTTATGAAAAAAGAAAAGGATAAAAGTTTAAATAAGATGACAGATTTGGATAATTTTGATAAATCGTATGAAATGATTTTGGACTTTATTTCTAAGCAATAAATACTCATTTCTCATATTCTCTGTTCTTGTATTGTTTTGTTTATACATGTATTATTGTAAGAGGGCAATAGTATTTGGAGCTCAGTTGATGTTGTGATTCGATAGCCGACACAAGTTAAATTTTA